CAAAAAATGTTCAAACTACCACACAATTGCACTCATCTCACATGCTAGCAAAGGAATGCTCAAAATTCTTCCAAGCTAGGCTTCAGCAGTATGTGAACTGAGAATTCCCCAATGTTCAAGCTGATTTTAAAAAGGCAGAGGAACCAATGATCAAATTACCAACACCCGTAGGATCATAGAAAAAGCAAGACAATTCCAGAAAAATATCTACTTCTGCTTCACTGACTATGCTAAAGCCTTTGACTATGTGGATCACAACAAACTGGAAAATTCTTAAAGAGATGGGAATACCAGACTACCTTGTCTGCCTCCTAAGAAATCTGTATTCGGGTCAAGAAGCAACAGTTAGAACATTACATGGAACAACTGACTGGTTCAAAATTGGGAAAGGAGTACATCAAGGCTGTATATTGTTACTTATTTAACTTATATGCAGAGTACATCATGTGAAATGCTGGGCTGGATGAACCACAAGCTGGAATCAAGATTGCCAGGAGAAATATCAATAACATCAGATATGCAGATGACACCACCTTTCTGGAAGAAAGTGAAGAGGAACTAAAGAGCCTCTTGATGAAAGTTAAAGAGGAGAGTGAAAAAGCTGGCTTAAAACTCAACATTTAAAAAACAAAGATCATGGCATATGGTCTCATCACTTCATGACCAATAGATGGGGAACAATGAAAACAGTGATAGACTTTAGTTTCTTGGGCTTCAAAATCACTGCAGATGGTGACTGCAGCCATGAAATTAAAAGAAACTTGCTCCTTGGAAGAAAAGCTATGACAAACCTAGAATGCATATTATAGAGAATTACTTTACTGACAAAGGTCCATATAGTCAAAGTTATGGTTTTTCCAGCAGTCATGTATGGATGTGAGAGTTGGACTACAAAGAAAGTGCTGAAGAATTGATGCTTTTGAACTGTGGGGTTGGAGAAAGACTCTTGAGAGTTCCTTGGATAGCAAGGAGATCAAATCAGTCAGTCCTGCAGGAAATCACTCTTGAATATTCATTGGAAGGACTGTTGTTGAAGTTGAAGCTCCAATACTGTGACCACCTGATGCAAAGAACTGACTCATTGGAAAAGATCTTGATGCACAGTCCATGGGGTTGCCAAGAGTTGGACAAGACCGAGCAACTGAACTGAACTATGACTTGCTGAAGGTTCAGATGATGGTTAGATTTTTTTTAGCAATAAAACATTTTTTAGTTAAGATACATATATTTTAAAGACATAGTGCTACTATACACTTATTAGACTATATTATAGTATAAATATAACTTCTACATATACTGAGAAACCAAAAAAAATTGTGTGACTAACTTTATTGTGATATTCCCTTTATTACAGTGGTCTAGAATCAAATCCACAATATCTGTAAGGTATGTCTGTACAAACCTGGGTATGCTGTGTAGGGGCTCTAAAGATGGAATTAAGGTAGTAATCAGCTCAACATTAAATTAGGAAGATTATCATGCTGGGTCCAATGTAATTACATAAATCCTTAAAAGTGGAAGAAGAAGGCTGAAAAGTGAGTCAGAGAGATGCTGAAGAAGGAAGAGTAGTAGGGAGAAGTAGTAGATGACAGATGAAGAAGAATGGGTGGTCAAAGGGATTCAAGGCATAAGAAGGACTTGACTAGCCATTGCTGATTTTGAAACTGGAGGAAAGGGGCCATTAGCCAAGTTACACAAGTGACCTCTGCAAGCTGAGCACAATCTCCATCTGACAACCATCAAAGAAATAGAACTCCAATACTAAAACTGCATAGAACTGAATTCTTTCAACAACCTGAATGAACTTAGAAGTGGATTCATCCTCAGAGCCTTCAGGGAAAAAACCAGCTCTGCTTGGTTGAAACCTTAAATTTGACCTGTTAAAATCCAGAGAAAAAACTGAGGCACATGGGCCTGGACTTCTGATGGATACTGTGTAATTTTTAAATGAGTGTTATTTTAGGGCACTAAATTTGTTGCAATTTGTTGTGGGGCACAATAGGAAAGAAATAAAGACAGAATATGTTTGGTCTTTCACCGTTGAATACAGTATTAGTTGGCCACTTCCACCCCACAGGTTGAAGTAGTTCCTTTATATTCTTGGTTTGCTGTTTCTCTCAGCAATGGGTACTGAATTTTGTCACTTTTTTTTTTTGCATCCACTTAGACAATTGTATGTTTTTTTAACGTTTTTATGTTAATGTGGTGAATTATATTGATTTTTTCTCTTTTTAATTAATATCCAGGATAGTAATGACAACAAATTGAGTTTTTCATTTAAAGCATATAAAGGTGTAGGCTCGCAAAAGGATGCTCACTGTAGTATGGTGAAATTATTTATGCTGAGTGGATGAGTATTAATCCTCACTTTTTATCTTTTCTTAAGTAATAGTTTTATTGAGGTACAATTCATTTATCATGTAATTTCCCCTTTAAAGTGTACAATTCAGTGATTTTTAGTATATTCAGAATTGTACAACCATCATATTATCTATTTTCAGTACATTTTTATCACCCCCAAAGAAGCCCTGTACCCATTAGCAATAATCTCTCATTCTCTCCTCCACCCAGTCCCAGCAATCATTAATCTACTGTCTGTGTCTATGGATTTGCCTATTCTAGACATTTCACATAAATGAAATCATTCAACATGCAGCCTTTGTAAGTGACTTTTTTCATGTAGCATAATTTTTAAGGATAATCCACACTTACTATTTATAAGTACTTCTTCCTTTCTATTGTTGAACGTTCCATTATATAGAATAGCATATTTCATTTATCCATTCATCAGCTGATGAGCAATTAAGCTTTTTCTAGTTTTTTACTATGATGAATAATGCTGTTATGAACATTAATGTACCAGTTTTTTGCAGGGATGAAGATTTTCAATTCTCTTGAGTAGATAACTAGGTGTAGAATTGTTAGGTCATATGCTGTCTCTATGTTTGATATTTTGAGAAACTGCCAAACTGTTTTCCAAAGCAGCTATGCTATTTTACAGCCCAGGTAGCAATGTATGAAGGTTCCAATTTCTTTACATCCTTGCAACAATTGTTACTGTGTTTCATTTCAGTCATTCTAGTGGGTGTAAAGTGATATCTCACTAGAGTTTTGATATGCATTTCCCTAAAAACTGAGTAAATTTGGAAAACTCAGCAGTGGCCACAGGACTGGAAAAGGTCCATTTTCATTCCAATCCCTAAGAAAGGCAATCCCAAAGAATGCTCAAACTACCGCACAATTGCACTCCTCTCACATGCTAGTAAAGTAATGCTCAAAATTCTCCAAGCCAGGCTTCAGCAATATGTGAACCGTGAACTTCCAGATGTTCAAGCTGGTTTCAGAAAAGGCAGAGGAACCAGAGATCAAATTGCCAACATCCGCTGGATCATCAAAAGAGCAAGAGAGTTTCAGAAAAACATCTATTTCTGCTTTACTGACTATGCCAAAGCCTTCGACTGTGTGGATCACAATAAACTGTGGAAAATTCTGAAAGAGATGGGAATACCAGACCACCTGACCTGCCTCTTGAGAAACCTGTATGCAGGTCAGGAAGCAACAGTTAGAACTGGACATGGAACAACAGACTGGTTCCAAATAGGAAAAGGAGTATGTCAAGGCTGTATATTGTCCCCCTGCTTATTTAAGTTATATGCAGAGTACATCATGAGAAACACTGGGTTGGAAGAAACACAAGCTGGAATCAAGACTACCAGGAGAAATACCAATAACCTCAGATATGCAGATAACACCACCCTTATGGCAGAAAGTGAAGAGGAAGTAAAAAGCCTCTTGATGAAAGTGAAAGAGGAGAGTGAAAATGTTGGCTTAAAGCTCAACATTGAGAAAACTAAGATCATGGCATCTGGTCCCATCACTTCATGGCAAATAGACGGGGAGACAGTGGGAAACAGTGTCAGACCTTATTTTTGTGGGTTCCAAAATCACTGCAGATGGTGATTGCAGCCATGAAATTAAAAGACGCTTACTCCTTGGAAGGAAAGTTATGACCAACCTAGATAGAATATTAAAAAGCAGAGACATTGCTTTGCCAACAAAGGTCCACCTGGTCAAGGTTATGGTTTTTCCAGTGGTCATGTATGGATGTGAGAGTTGGACTGTGAGGAAAGCTGAGTGCTGAAAAATTGATGCTTTTGAATTGTGGTGTTGGAGAAGACTCTTGAGAGTCCCTTGGACTGCAAGGAAATCCAACCAGTCCATCCTGAAGGAGATCAGTCCTGGGTGTTCATTGGAAGGACTGATGCTGAAGCTGAAACTCCAATACTTTTGCCACCTCATGTGAAGAGTTGACTCATTGGAAAAGACCCTGATGCTGGGAGGGATTGGGGGCAGGAGGAGAAGGGGATGACAGAGGATGAGATGGCTGGATGGCATCACTGACTGGATGGGCATGTGTTTGAGTAAACTCCGGGAGTTGGTGATGGACAGGGAGGCCTGGCGTGCTGCGATTCAGGGGGTCGCAGAGTCGGACAGAACTGAGCAACTGAACTGAATAACTGATGATGCTGATAAGTTTTTTGTGTTTAATAGCCATTTCCATATCTTCTTTGGAGAAACATCTATTCAAATCTTTAGCCAATGTTTAAAAATTATTAGTCTTTATTTTTGAGTTGTAAGAGACCTTTACATTTCTGTATAGAGATCCCTTATCAAATATATGACTTGCAAATATTTTCTCCCTTTGTTTAATTTTCTTTTCACTTTTTTGATGTTGTCCTTCAAGGTACAAACATTTTCAATATTGATGATGTTCAATTTATCTTTTTTTTTTTTCCATTTATTACTTGGCATTCTGCCCACAGGCGCCACCTGGGAATCACTTCACAATCCCAGCAGGAGCAGCACCGTGGATTCCTTTAAGGTGGTGCTGGAGGGGCCAGCACTTTGGGGCTTCTGGTTACAGGTGGGCAAGGACTTCAATGTGCCCTGCTCCATCTCCTGGCTCACTCAGTCCTGGAGGTAAAGCTGCGCAGGCCAGCATGGCCAGGGCTGACTGGGTGCTGAGTACTGATGGTGAGAATGCAGGGGGCCTCATTCACATAGAAGCCCAGAACAAGATCCACGCCTGTGGGGAGAGCCTCAGCCTTGGTCTCAGCAGGGCTCAGCCCCCTCAGAGGAAACAGCAGAAGGCCCTGGCCCCTCACCATGGACCCCCACACCCCCCCACCCCCGCCCAAGCAGTCCACCTTTGCACCCAGTGCTTCCCTCAACAATACACCTGGCCCTTCGGGGCAAACCCCCTCGCTGACAGTGCCCTGCAGCGGAATGGACAGCTGCTCAGCCAGTAGTGGCTGATGGAGGACACGGGAGACTGGCAGCCGGAGTCTGGGACAGGCCAGTCCCATTCCTTCTGCATCCTCGCCCACCTCGTGAGCACCAAGTCCATGCAAGACCTGATGAGAAGAACCCGAAGAAACCAAGGGAAAACTACGTCCTGGAGCTGCAGAACCCATGCCACACCCACCTCCAGGACTGGGCACTCCGCCCATGTGCTCAACATGCAGTGGTAGCCTGGCCCTCGCTGGCTGGCTGCCCTCTCTGCCTCTTTCTGTCCTTCCGCCCAGGGCACCTCCCCTTGGCACCTCCAGATTCTGCCTGCCCCACCCATCCCTTTCTTGCCCCTGCACCGAGCCTCCTGCTGGCCTAGCCCCAGCTGCACTACTGGCACCGGGCCTGGCTCCATTTGACACTGCCCTCACTCTTTGCCCTATGGTACTGCTGTGCTGGCTTGGGCATGAAAATAACTTCTTAGCCCTGCTTTAAAAAAAAAAAATCTGCTTGCCAATGCAGAGATGCAAGAGGCAGGGGTTGCTCCCTGGGTGGGGAAGATCCTTGAGTAGGAAATGGCAATCCACTCGTTTTCTTGCCTGGAAAATTCCATGGACAGAGGAGCCTGGTGGCCTACAGTCCACGGGGTTGCAAAGAGTCGGACACGACTGAGTACACACACACACACACACACACACACACACACACACACACACACACACGCTGTGAAAGGATTCCTCCCATCTAGTTAATTGACACATCCATCATGTCATACATCATACATTTATCTTTTTTTGGTGAGAACATTGACATTCTACTTTCTGATACAACACTGTGTTGATTCATCATGCTATACAATACATCCTTACACCTTATTCATCTTATAGCTGAAAGTCTATATCTGTTTACTAATCTCTTCCTATTTCTTCCTAGGTCCTGGCCACAATTTTCTACTGTTTCTGGTTTGTTTTTCAAGATTCCCCATATAATGAAATCTAAATTCAGTATTTTTCTTTCTCTACCTGGCTTATTTCACTTAGCATCTATGTGTTCATCTATGTGTCAAAAGTGGCAGAATTTTCTTCTTTCACAAGACTGAATAATATTGTATTCATTGTGAATATATACCACACCTTCTTTATCCATTCACCACTGACAAACACTTAGGTTATTTCCATACCTTGATTATGTGAATAATACTGCAATGAACATGGGAGTGCAGATGTCTCTTCAATATCCTGTTTTCATTCCCTTTGGATATATACACAAAAGTAGGATTGCTGGATCATATGGTAGTTCTATTTTTAATTTTTTGAAGCACCTCCCTGCTGTTTTCCATAGCGGTTGCACCATTTTACATTCCCCAAAACTGTGCACAAAGATTCCCTTTTCTCCACAACCTGCCAGCACTTGTTATCTCTAGTCTTTTTGATGATGGTCATTTTAACAGGAGTGAAGTGATAATATCGTGATTTTTATTTCCCTGATGATTAGTGATGTTAAGAAACTTTTAATGTACCTGTGGGCCATTTGTATGTCTTCTTTGGAAAGATGTCTATTCCATCCCTCTATTTTAAAATCAGATTTTTGTTGTTGTTACTGAATTGCATGAATTCTTTTTTAAAAACGATGGTTAATTTTATATTCAAGAGCTCTAATAATGGCTTATTTTTAATATTTATTTATGTGGCTGTATCAGGTCTTAGTTGCAGCATGTGGATCTTCATTGCATCATGCAGGATCTTTCACTGTTGCACACAGATTCTATTTATGGTGCAAGGGCTTAGTTGCCCTTGCTTAAGGAATCTTAGTTCCCCAACCAGTGCTTGAATTCATGTCCCCAGGATTGCAAGGCAGATTCTTATTCACTGGACCACCAGAAAAGTCCCTGAATTTTGCATGAATTCTTGATGTATTTTTGGATACCTACCCCTTATCAGATGTATGACTTGCAAATACTTTCTTCCATTCCATAGGTTGTCTTTTCACATTGTTGATGGTTTGCTTTACTATGCAGAAGCTTTTCAGTTTGATGTAATCTTTGCTCATATTTTCTTTTGCTACTTTTGCTTTTAATGAACTATCCAAAAAAAATCATTACCAAGATCAACGTCAAGGAGCTTACCCTCTATGTTTTCCTCTAGCAGTTTTATGGTTTCGGTTCTTATGTTCAAGTCTTCAATGTATTTTGAGTTAATTTTTATGTGTGGTATAAGATAAGAGACCAGTTCCATTCCCGTGCATCTGGCTATCCAAATTTCTCAACCTTATTTACTGAAGAGACTATACTCTCCCCATTGTATATTCCTGCCTCCTTTGTCATCAATTGGCCATATAGACATGAGCTTATTCCTGGACTACTTCTATAATTCGTTCATCTATGAGCCTGTTTTTGCACAATGCCGTACTGTTTGATCACTACAGCTGTGTAGTATACTTTGAAATCAGGAAATATGAGGCCTCCAGCTTTATTCTTTTTCCTGCACTAGATTACTTTGACTATTTGGGATATTTTGTGGTTCTATACAAATTTTAGGATTTTTTATTTATGTGAAAAAATGCCATTGGAATTTTGACAGAAACTGCATTGAATATTATATTGCTTTAAGTAGTATGGAAATTTTAACAACACTGCTTCTTCCAGTCCATAAGCATGGAATATATTTTGTGTCTTCTTCAAAATCTTAGAGTTTTCAGATCTTTTACCTCCTTGGTTAAATTTATTCCTTAGAATTTTATTCTTTTTGAAGCAATTGTAAATGGACTTCCTTTTTATTAAAGTATTGATTATTTACAATATTATGTTAATTTCATGTGTACAGTATAGTGATTCAGCATTTTTGCAGATTATACTCCATAGATTATTACAGGTAGTAGATATAAGTCCCTGTGCAATACAGTATGTCTTTGTTACTTATCTATTTTATATACTGTAGTTTTTATCTATTAATCCCATACCTCTAATTTGTTCCTTCCTGAATTCAGGTTGTTAATACTTTCATATTGCTCTATGCTTATTAGTTTCCCTTCTTGTAGTGTCTTTGTCTGGTTTTGGTTAATAGCGTAATGCTGGCCTCACAAAGTGAGTCCAGAAGTGATCACTCATCTTTCAGTTCAGTTCAGTTCAGTCACTCAGTTGTATTTGACTCTTTGCAACCCCATGAACCACAGCACGCCAGGCCTCCCTGTCCATCACCAACTCCCGGAATTTACTCAAACTCATGTCCATTGAGTCAGAGATGCCATCCAACCATCTCATCCTCTGTTGTCCCCTTCTCCTCCTGCCTTCAATCTTTCCCAGTATCAGGGTCTTTTAAAATGAGTCAGCTCTTCGCATGAGGTGGCCAAAGTATTGAAGTTTCAGCTTCAGCATCAGTCCTTCCAATGAACACCCAGGACTGATCTCCTTTAGGATAGACTGGTTGGATCTCCTTGCAGTCCAAGGGACTTTCAAGAGTCTTCTCCAACACCACAATTCAAAAGCATCAATTTTTCAGCACTCAGCTTTCCTCACAGTCCAACTCTCACATCCATACATGACCACTGGAAAAACCATAGCCTTGACTAGACGGACCTTTGTTGACAAAGTAATGTCTCTGCTTTTTCATATGCTGTCTAGGTTGGTCATAACTTTCCTTCCAAGGAGTAAGCGTCTTTTAATTTCATGACTGCAATCACCATCTGCAGTGATTTTGGAGCCCACAAAAATAAAGTAAGCCACTGTTCCCACTGTCTCCCCATCTATTTCCCATGAAGTGATGGGACCAGATGCCATGATCTTAGTTTTCTCAATGTTGAGCTTTAAGCCAACTTTTTCACTCTCCTCTTTCACTTTCATCAAGAGGCTCTTTAGTTCTTCTTCACTTTCTGCCATAAGGGTGGTGTCATCTTCATATCTGAGGTTATTGATATTTCTCCTGGCAGTCTTGATTCCAGCTTGTGCTTCTTCCAGCCCAGCGTTTCTCATGATGTACTCTGCATATAACTTAAATAAGCAGGGTGACGATATACAGCCTTGACCTACTCCTTTCCTGATTTGGAACCAGTCTGTTGTTTCATGTCCAGTTCTAACTGTTGCTTCCTGACCTGCATACAGGTTTCTCAAGAGGCAGGTCAGGTGGCCTAGTATTCCCATCTCTTTCAGAATTTTCCACAGTTTATTGTGATCCACACAGTCAAAGGCTTTGGCATAGTCAATAAAGCAGAAATAGATGTTTTTCTGGAATTCTCTTGCTTTTTCGATGATCCAGCAGATGTTGACAATTTGATCTCTGGTTCCTCTGCCTTTTTTAAAACCAGCTTGAACATCTGGAAGTTCACAGTCACTCATCTTTAACATGTTGGAAAAGCGTACAAAAAATTGGTGTTAATTCTTCTTTAAATGTCTGTTACAATGCAGCAGTGGAACCATCTGGTTCTGAACTTTTCTTTGTTGGGAGGTTTTGATTACTGACCTAGAATTCTTCCTACTAAATGATCTGTTCAAATTTTTCATGATTCAGTCTTGGTAGGCTGTACATTTTCAGTAATTTATCGATTGTTATATTTCAACGGAACAATACCTAGACCAGATAAAGAGGGCCAAGACCTTTATTTCAGCACCCTGTAGTTATTTCTTTAGCAGCATTACATCTGTTAAAATTGCTAGATTGTATCCTGCACTGGACAGCAAGTACCTAATAAATAAAAGGCTGTCCTGATCAACACAGTCATTCCAATCCTGAGTAAACTAAGATAAAAAGTAACCCTCATTTTTCATAGATTCCATATTTATGAATACACCTGATTACTAAAGTTTACTTGTGACCCCCAAAATCAAATTTTGCTGTGCTTTCTCGCTCACTCGTGGACATTTACAAAATAGGAGATGATTTTAGTCAGCCAATACACATTTTCCAAGCTAAGGTCAAAGGCAGCAGTGGTCTGCCTTCTTGTTTCAGATATCAAACTGTAAACAAGTGTTCTTTTCAGTCTATTTGTGTTACTTTTTGCTTTTTTGTGACTTTCGTTGATGATTTGGTTGTTTATAATAGTCCCCAAATAGAGTATTGTAGCGCTCTCTAGTGTTCCTAAGCACATGTAGGCTGTGATGTGCCTTACAGAGAACACACATGTGTCAGATAAGCTTCCTTTGTGCGTGAATTACAGTGCTGTTGGCTGTGACTTAAATGTTAATGAACTAATTCCTATTAAATACAGTGTCTTCAAACAGAAGCATACATAAAACAAGATTATATATGTTAGCCGACCAAAATGTGATGCTCATGGGAATGTAATATATACTTCCTCTAGTAGCAACAGTTCAATATTCACTAATCCAGTGTTCCAGCAACTTGACTAGAATCCACTATATTTGTTGAATGCATGAAGCTGGATCATTTGATTCCAAACCCAAATCTTGTGTGAATGCAGTATATGGTGGTATACAGGCAGCATGCAGTAGTATATGGTAGTAACCGTGACTGTGGAGACAAACTGCCTTAGAGTTCAAGCCTCGATTTTTGACTTGCTGCTGCAGATGTATCGCTTCAGTAGTGTCCGACTCTGTGAGACCCCATAGACAGCAGCCCACAAGGCTCCGCCGTCCTTGGGATTCTTCAGGCAAGAACACTGGAGTGGGCTGCCATTTCCTTCTCCAATGCATGAAAGTGAAAAGTGAAAGTAAAGTTGCTCAATCGTGTCCAACTCGTCGCGACCCCATGGACTGCAGCCTACCAGGCCCCTCCATACATGGGATTTTCCAGGCAAGAGTACTGGAGTGGGTTGTCATTGCCTTCTCTGACTTGCTAGCTGTGTAATTTAAGCCAAATTACTTTTCTCTGCCTTCTTCCACAATTGAAAGTGTAGACAAAATAGTTGCTAATGGTTGCCTGGGCTGGGTGTTGGGGGAAGGGACTGACCACAAAGAGGCACAAGAAAGTTTTGAGAAATATTCTACATCTTGTTTATAGGTTTACAGTGGTAGTTACATAACTGCTTATGTTTTTCAAAACTCATAGAACTTAACAGGGTAAATTTCACTTTGTAGAAACTCCAACAGTAAATCTGAAGGTTGAAAAAGGAGTAACAATCACGATTAAAGGAATAATGCACATAAAACATTTACTGCACTACCTGCTTATATACTCTATTTGCAACTTTCTAACAATAATAGGGAAAGGTTAGGGAATGTAAAGAAAAGCAGAGTGGACTCCTGAACCAGGATCCTAATCTGGCTCTTTCACATATTAGCTAGATTCTGAGCTCAGTTTAGGGTGTTCACTTGCTTACTGTCAATCTTAGATTGGACAATACACGTGAAACATCTGTGCAAACCATGGAGTCACATAGAAGAGTGAGAAATGAAATTTTCCATGAGACAGCAGTACAAAATCACAGGGCCACATAAACTGGGGTGTTAAGGTCACCTCTGCAAGGTAGAATTTGGTGGGCTGTAAAACCACTGAGAAAAGGAGAACGCATCTCTTTTTAAGAAACTCGGTCCTAATCCTATTCAAGTCACTATTGGCTCCACATTAATTCCAAGACAACCCACTGGTCTAATGAGGTACAGACATACCTCAAACTCGAAGGAATGCCAATGTCAGGAGGATGTAAGAGCTGAGTTTGGCAGAAAATCTTTTGCTGGACAATGCAGTAGGAGTCAGACACCATTTGCCTCCAAAACTCGGTAACAGCCTCTGATGTGAGGCATGTGAGGAGAGAGTTAGGGCATTTCACCGCTGCTTTTTAGTTCGTGGATGTCTCAGGAGTTCTCACCCTTGAGTGCGGATCAGCAGTGGCAGCCGCTGCCGGAATCTCATCGTGGGTGGCTGGTGTCTCCCACGAAGCCCACAGTAGGAGCTGGGTAACACCATACTGCACTCAAGCTCTTCCTCAAGGAAAAAGCATGGTTTGGAACGCCAAGTAGGGCTTCAAGTTGGGCCAGAAACTGGAACCTAAAATTCCCTCCAAAGCCACGAGATACACTCCTTGAATTCGCACGCCTTGTGAGTTCTGACAGCCGTCACGTGACAACTACCACAACACCTGAGGGCACAGGCCATCGAGTGCGTGGTTTGGTTTCCGTTCAGTTCGACAGGGACCCTAACTTAATCGCACCTGGAAGTTCGAGAGAGCAAGTTTCCTTGCCGGCGAGTTTACCCTCAGCAACCGAACTCCATAAAGTGCTCTTCACGCCGGAAGTGCACTAATCCGCAGCACGTGGGGTTGCCAGGGCGCTCTTCACGTGACTGGGCGGGGCTTCAGGAAGCTTATAGCCAATGGTAGCGCGAGAGGGCGGTGCCTATGACGCGCCGGGACCTATCCCGGAAGTGGGACTGAGGTGGGGGCGGGAAAGGGCGGGGAGGCCGGGGTGTGGAAAGTGTGGCGGCCCCGCCCCGTCTCTTGGAACTGCCGCGGCCGCCACAGCTGCCGCCGCCGCAGCTGTGCCGGACCGGCGCGGGTGCGCAGGCAAAAGGCTCCCTTTACCTTCTGAAAGGTGAAGACTGGGGGAAAAGGTGGTGGGGCTGCGACCGGAGCGAGGAAGGGCTGGGGTAGGCAGCCAGAGCCCAGCCCCGACCGAGAAGAGGAGGAAGGATGGATGGGCGACCGAGGCGAGCGCGGGACCCGCTAGGGCTCAGGCCCGTGAGGCGCCGGGCCGGGGATGTCGGCAGGACAGAGGGTGTCTGAGAGGTCGAAGTGACGCCGCTGCAGGCTGGGGGGAGAAGTGTGCGCCCACTGCCCGAGGGCCAGGTGCTGATGGCCAGGTCCTGTTATCCCCATCCTTCGCAGGGATGTGCGGCCTGGGCTGGGCCCCCCGCACTGAGGATCCGGGCGGCGGCGGAGGGCCGGGCGGCGCGGTGCGGGAAGGTCGTCCGGCGGTGGGACGGTGGGGGCCGGTATTTGCTGCCCCCCGAGCGGGTGAGCGCCTTCGGCGGGTATTCCCCAACCCCAGCGAGCTCTGCTGCGACTTTCCTCCCACCTCCCCACCAAAGGATGGAAAAGTTTGTAAGGCCGGAGTTAGAAAGTGCCCACTATTCCGGGTGGGTGTTCTATAAATGCAGAAATAATAGATCCATGATGCTTGGCTCGTAACTTGTCCGAAATGAGGCGTTTCTCTGCTTGCATGCTAGTTGTTAAAAAGCAAACAAACTTTTTGCATAGTACCCTCAGAAGAATTTCCCCAGCCCACCATGGCGGATGAAATTGATTTCACTACTGGAGATGCTGGGGCTTCCAGCACCTACCCTATGCAGTGTTCCGCCCTGCGCAAAAACGGCTTCGTGGTGCTCAAAGGACGACCATGCAAGATAGTGGAGATGTCAACTTCCAAAACTGGAAAGCACGGTCATGCCAAGGTAAATGCCCTTCCTGGTCTGCCTTGGTGTTGGGATTTTGATCATTTGTATTCCGTTACAGAACATGAGGTTTCTAAACTTATAAGTGTATAAGAACACATTCCCCCCCCCCCCCAATTACTGGGTGATCAGCTATTTGAATACTGAAAGGTAGCATTTCCTTCTTGGGCTCTAATAATGTTTCATTAACTGGGAATTGAAACTTTCCTGAATCCTAGTGACTTAGGCAATCTATTCAGTTTACAAATGAGAAAACCTGTGCTAACATCATTCTAAGGAAACTAATTTCATTTTTCTTCAGCATTTTTATGATTGAATTACTAGACTGTGATGTTGGGTCTTGATATGTCATGATACTGTTTAGTTGTTCACTGCTTCTCAGTTGTATGACCACTTTTTTTTTAAGAAAGTAAAATTAGATGACCTTGGAAGGAGAAAGAATCTGTCATAATCAGCATTGGTATTATACTTCTGTGTATGTAATGAGTGATATCTTGGCAAAGATTAAACAGGTTTCCTGTTCTCCTTTCTCTGTTAGGTTCACCTTGTTGGAATTGATATTTTCACGGGCAAAAAGTATGAAGATATTTGCCCTTCTACTCACAACATGGATGTTCCAAATATTAAGAGAAATGATTATCAAGTAAGTATTAATTTCCTTTAAAATACTACTTGTTTCCTAAAGGTGCAAATACTTTCTACTGTCAGTTGTAATTTAATAAAACCCACAAGTAATTTTGTAGGTTCTTCTAACCCATTATTAGGTACTGCTTATCTTAGAAATTGGAGAAATATGGTGCTGTTTAACACTTGTACTTTATCTTGGATGACTGCTAGTTTGCCCTTTAACATTCTTGCATTTTAAAAAATTTGAACACTTCCTGTTTTTCAGATCAAGTGACTCCGTATTGTGAGTCCAATGTTTAGTAAAATTACTATTCTCTTTTCTGTAAATTATTTCAAGTTTAAATAATTCCCTTCTGGGTATTTTTTTTTTTTTAACCTTACCAGACCTAAGATTCTCAAGAAATTTTTGGAATTCATGTTCCACCAACCAAGTGTGTATGTATTAGTGAATGAGTGTCAAAATTTGGTGTCCTTAAATAGGGAAATAAGTTGAAATCCATAAATACAAAGCATAAAGTGTATGGTCACTGAACAGGGTGAAGGAAATAAAAAAAAACTTCATAGTTGTTTTATGTTCAGTGACCATGCTGTGACCTTTTGTTAAATTATAGGTATAAACTGCAACTTTTAGTTCCAATTGTACATTTGGATAAGTCATGTTTAATGATAGCATTTTCTTGTTTGGAGTATTGATAGTAACTAAATCACTGACCTCATAGGATGTGGGAACTCAGATTAATCATAACTAAAGTCTTTCTTGAAAGTGTTCAATTTCTTTATCAAACATGCTATATGTAGAACTCTTTTCTATTCATTTTACATAGTGAAAAATACAAATGTGATGCTCAATTTGTGTTACCCAATTTAAACTGATTTCTTTCCATACCTTATATTGTGTTTATAATTTTTAAAGAATGTTACCATTAACTGCAATATCCGATGATTTCCTTTTAGTTTTTGTCCACATGTAAACATATTTTTACATAATTTTAATCTAGTAAGCAGTTTTATATTTTCATTTTCCCTCTTAATAAATGTTTTCTATTGTTGTTTGAAAGTCTGTAGAATTTGAATTGTCTTAGTAGAATAATAGAAAGTTTTTTTTTTAAGTCAGGCAGATCTGAATTTCGATCTCGTCCTGCCACTTTCAAGCTGGGTGATCTTGGACAAATTAGGCAACCTTTCTAAGCCTCAGCCTTCCCATCTACAAAGGAGGGATAATATGAAGATTAAATGAGAATATGTACCCCATGATTACCTCTTAATTAGATATATTCCCCAAAGTAGTTTTTCCTGTATAAAAACTTCACTTAATCATTGCATTATTCTTGGAGTACTTAATTTAGACTTTGCATATAGTGTTACTGCTGCTGCTAAGTCGCTTCAGTTGTATCCGACTTTGTGGGTGGTGCTCGGTAAACATTTGTTAAATGCATACATGATTATTCACTGAGGTAAGGATGGTACAGCCAACTAAAGCTAAGCATAGAATTTTATTTTGCCAAAAATGTATTTCTGTTTTCATCCTTAACGTGTGAATGCTTTGAATATGCAATATCCATTAATATTTGCTCAGTATATAATGTTTTTGCCTTTGAGTGTTTCAGAAAAATAATATCATAAGTTCAGATGATTGCCACTGTGATCAAATTAGCCAATCATTGATTAGAACTCAGGATTAACATAAAGGAAAGTTTTGGTATGAGTTGTATTTTGGCAGGGCCAGAACTAGAATGAGGGAAATGAGATTGGTAAAGCCCTTGCCTCAAGCACAAAAGACAAGACCAGTAACAATGCCAAGCTACATAGGGGCCTAAGTCAGAAGGGAAAAATCAGAAATTTTGATCTTGTCTGAAAATTTGTTCATTATAGAATTTTTGCATTCTAATTTTTAAAAATACTACCTTAACCTGATCACTGAGGGTTTTCTGTGTTTGTGTGCACATGCACACCACCATAAATTTTGCACCCCAAACAAGTGCCTCACTTGGTTCACTGGAGTCCCAGCCTTTGGTATATAGTCTGTGTTGCAGAGCTGATAAGAAAATGGCTCAAGCCTAACAGTCTAGGATCAGATCCTTTCTTTGGCATCTACTAATTACATGACGTAATAGTAATTACATTACTATTTAATCTCTCATCTACCTTTTTGTATTTATAAAATAAGGATAAGAATAATAAACTCCTCATGGAATCACTGTAAGGATTAATTAGTTAATTCTTAGAACAGTGCCTTGCAGAGTGAGCACTCAGTGATCACACCCCTTCGTTATCAAGTTAGCATAGAATACTTATTTCTGTTCATTTAAAAAATTAGTTCGATGAACCTTTCCAGTTATATTCATTGTGCTATGGTGGTCTTCACTATCCAAGTGGCTTGATTCAATTTGGCTACTTGTAGTCCTTTGCTGAATTCAGTATTTCAAGTGCCAGTTTGGCAGTCAGCTAAAGTGAAATATATACATATGTGTGTGTGTGTGTGTGTTTTCATTATAATAATTAAAAAGTAAATCTTTGTTTAAGAGAAGAAAGGTATTTATAATTTTATGTATTTTAAAATAAGTTCAAAATGAAGGAAAAAATTTTCCCCTGAATTCCATTCCAAGATGTATCTGGAATTGCTAATTTCCATCCTTTCTCTCAAAACTAGTTATGGTTGTCTGGGGCTCACTGATAGTGTAAAATATAAATACACTTAAACACTTCTGGGAATCCCCAGGCTCTTAAGTATAGAAACACTTGTTCAAACTCTGCTACTCCCTTGAATCATATTGCTTTAGAAAGTTCTATGTCCCTGTGCACCACACCACAAGTTAAATGCGTTTTCGGCATTCACTAAAGTTTTATCTGTCATTTAAAGATCACTTTTCAGAAGGAAAGCTGATCACTACAGGACATGTTAAAGTATAGATTGTGTTTCTTTGGATTATTGGTTAATTGCCAAAACTATGAATATTTAATCCTAGCATATTCTTCAAGTAAGTGTATGCCTTTTGTATAAGGAGTTGAATTTTGTTGTTGCAACTTAAAATAGAACAACAAAGAAAAAAATGATGCAGTAAATTCTCTGTGTTTGAAGTCTTTTTATACTTTTTAACCTGTTTGTGGAATCTTTGTGTTCCCTGGTAGAAGCAGTGTTTCTTTGGAATAGAAAACCTCTAAATCAGCAGATCCCAGTATTGCAGGGAGAAGAAACAGATATTTTGCTACAGGGTCAGTGAGGGTAATAGTGAGAAGAGCCTTCTACCTTCGGTTCCTAGGCCTGTGTGTTTTACCTTTGGGAGAAATAGTACCATGTATTGGAAGATACTGACCTGTAAAACAGCACCCAGGCCTGCAGTGTCCAGCAGGTGGCAAAGATGCGTAGGCCAGTGCAAACTCTTAGAATGATGGGAGCACATGGAGCAGTGAATTCTCTGAGGGCTGTCCTGCTGTCTTTTATTTTGCCTGTCAAATGCATTTTTAGCCAGAAATGATACTGGGTGAGGTACTGAAGGGATGTGACAGTTTATAAATCCACAGATGAGATTTCAGCAGCAGCACTGCAGGCAGTAAAGGCAAATTTATTTGTGAAATAAGAGTATACTGCAGTGAGCACAAACTGCTGCCTCTTCCACGACGGAGGGAATATACTGTCACCAGGCGGCTGGCTCCTTGCCCTGGGAAATCGTGCCGTATCAGTGACTCTGCATTGGTCTGTGCTGTGAGGTACCAGCAGTAGCTGTGGTCAGTAGTGGCTGTAGGTCACATCAGCCTTGGTGAGAAACCCTGAGTCAATTAGCTCATGCCGCAACGGCCATTCATAAGCCAGTTGAGCAAGGGCTGGGAAGACAGCGGAAAGAAACAACGGCCAGTCATTCATAAGCCAGTTGAGCAAGGGCTGGGAAGACAGCGGAAAGAAACTAAGTGGCATTCGCCGATAGAATCATCTTGTCACCTAACTCTGCCTCCTCAGTAGCGTGTCCCCTTGGGAAGCATTTATACAGACACATTCTCTATTCAGCAAGCCCCCTCCATGTGCCACTCCCCCAGACCTTATTGTCAGCAGTTTTCCCATCTTGTTCTTTCAGTGTGGTTGAACTTCCACACAGACTCTTAGCCATTGCCCATCATCAGTGTAAATCTAAACCTTCAGTTCTTTCTCCTTTTGAGTCCAGTGCATGAAGGTCTCACCCCCACTATCTCTGCGAGTAGTTTCATCAGGCCATGCATAACCATCTAGAAACCACTGTGACCTTTTTTATTTTTCAGTCAGCTGCTCATAGGGAACTCCCCCCACAGAGCCACTGGTATGAGTTGAGGGAGAAGTGGTAGATGTTGCAGAAGAAGGTACTTTCTGAGTCTCATAACAGCTTGCTCGTGCCTTCAGGACCTGCTCAAGTTGGTCTCATAGATGCAGCTCCCACTTGATGATGAAGTGGTGCTGTGCATACCCAGTTTTATGGCTTGGTGGGTCAGATAGCACTCTAGTTGATAATAGCGTTATTCACTTGTGTTGTGTGATAACAATGGTCAAGCATTCACTTCCTTCTTGCCCAATCTCCTTCCCATCCCACCCCACCCTCGCCCCCCAGCCAGGGACCAGCAGCTCTAAAGAAGTAGCTTGAGAGTGCTGGAGGAAGAGGAAAAGGAAGGAGGAGAAAAAAGGAGGTTTTACCTAAAAGTCTGACTGTTTTGAAATAGATTGAGAAATAAAATTAAGTTCAGAAGTTAGGGCTAAGAAGGCACCTGTAGTGATGCTATTCCTTCTCCAGCTTTCTACTGTTGTATACCAATAACACAAATACAGGCAAAAAGTTGCCCCATAATTTTCCAATTTCATGTTCTTATCTGACCACATCATGGACAGACTCTCCAGTCACTGGCTTTCCCCACATCCTTCCTTCAGTTCATGCTTTGTTTCCTCAGCTCCCTCTGCCTCCAGCTATTTAGTGGTTACAGTGCTCTTTCTGGAATTCTGATATACCATAGCATTTTTCTCTTTTGCTTTTTATAGTAGACATTTTCAAAATATGATGAAGCTCATATACCCATCACCCACCCTAAAAAAACTATCAATACATAACAAATCTTATTTCATTTATACCCCACCATCTACTACTATTTCCTGTATCCTCTATCTCTTGATTATTTTGAAGCTAATTCCAGATATCATGTTATTTGTCATTTCATCTGCAAATATTTTGATACACATTTTTAAAAGGTAAGGGCTATAAAGAGCAAGATCAAAGCACACTGGTACCTCCAAAATTAGTAAATCCCTAATGTCTTCAAACGTCCAATCAGTATCTACATTTTCTTAATTGTATTTGTGTTTTGCCTTTTCAGATGTGATAGTTATTGTTTTTATTTTGTAGTTTTTCTAAATCAGGACCTAAATAAAGTCCACATTTATTGAAATTGGTTGAGGTATCTCTTAAATCTGCTTTATAGGTTCTCCTCTCTCATACATGCATTTGAGTCTCTCTTTCCTCCCTTCCTTATTTCTCTCTCTCTGCCCCCTCTCAATTTTTTGATGAAGAACATTGTTCTGTAGACTTTCCCATGGGCTCTATTTTACTAACTGCATTTTCCTTGTTATTTAACATGTTCCTTTGTCCCACATATTTCTGAGAATGGATAATTAAATGTACAGATCCAGTTTAGATTTTTATTTTTTTCATCTTTTTTCTTTAACAAGAACTACTCCAAAGGTGATGTTCTGTACAGTCATCAAGTAAATGAATCTTATGGTTTGCTCTTTTGTGATGTTATTAGATATGTAATAACTGCCTCAATCCATTAACTTATTAGGGAAGACAAAGTAATAATAACCAGTTACTCTTTTAAAAAATAAAAAAAAAAGCCAGAACACTTCTATAAAGAGAAACTTTCCTTTAGCTTTATTGATTACCCTTGGAACAGTATATAATAGGAAAGGCAATATAAATATTTGCTGCTTTCCCTTTAATTACCAGTTTTCAAAATTAGCTGGTTCTCTGGTTTTTATTGAAGATGACCAGTGAAATGTTTTTTTGCCATTTTGAACTCAAGCATTTAAATACACTTACATTTCAGTATATTGTAGTTATTATCATTATTCACTCTCAAAGTGTTCTGTCTTTGGCCAGAGGGCCCTTATTTCTGTTAGCTCCTAAAACCCTTCGATATGGCTCACCGTGCTTTCACATCTTGTGTGCTTCCTGCTCTGGACCTGGATTTACCCATTTTTCGAGGAGCCCAGTGGAGAGAAACGCCACCATACGCTGGGTTCTTTTGGTAGGGAATGGCAGCTGCGCACTCTGGTCCTAGTGTTGGGGTACGGTATAACTGCAGATGGCACTCAGCGGCTCGGCACGCCGCTCTGTGACTGACTCTTCTGTTACAAGTCTTCTGGCCCTGCCCTCACCTGTCTCCTTGCTTACTGTTAACAAAATGACTTCTCTTTCTACCAAAAAAAGTGTTCATAACATTTCAAAGTTACCAAATGAGTATTGTTGTTCAGCTGCTCAGTTGAGTCCGACTCTTTTCAACTCCATGGACTGCAGCACACCAGGCTTCCCTGTCCTTCACCAACTCCCCGAGCTTGCCTCAAACTCATGTCCATTGAGTCAACGATGCCATCCACCCATCTCATCCTCTGTCATACTCTTCTCCTCCTGCCTTCAATCTTTCCCAGCATCAGGGTCTTTTCCAACAAGCTGGCTCTTCACATCAGGTGGCCAAAGAATTAGAGCTTCAGCTTTAGCATCAGTCCCTCAGTGAATATTCAGGATTGATTTCTTTTAGGATTGACTGGTTTGGTCTCCTTGCAGTCCAAGGGACTATCAAGAGTCTTTCTCCAGCACCACCGTTTAAAAGTATCAATTCTTCGGCACTCAACCTCCTTTATGGTCCCAACTCTCACATCCATACATGACCACTGGAAAAATCATAGCTTTGACTGTATGGACCTTTGTAGGCAAAGTAACGTCTCTGCTTTTTCAGTACGCTATCTAGGTTTGTCATAGCTTTTTTTCCAAGGAGCAAGCATCTTCTAATTTCATGGCTGCAGTCACTGTCCGCAGTGATTTTGGAGCCCAGGAAAGTAGAGTCTGTCACTGTTTCCATTGTTTCCCCGTCTGTTGGCCATGAAGTGATGGGACCAGATGCCATGATCTTCGTCTTTTGAATGTTGAGTTTTAAGCCAGCTTTTTCACTCTCCTCTTTCACCTTCATCAAGAGGCTCTTTAGTTCCTCTTCACTTTCTACCATAAGGGTGGTGTCATCTGCATATCTGAGGTTATTGATATTTCTCCCAACAATCTTGATTCCAGCTTGTGCTTCATCCAGCCTGGCATTTTGCATGATGTACTCTGCATATAAGTTAAATAAGCAGGGTGACAATATATAGCCTTAATGTACTCCTTTCCCAATTTTGAAACAGTCCATTGTTTCGTGTAAGGTTCTAACTGTTGCTTCTTGACCTGCATACAGGTTTCTCAGGAGGCAGATAAGGTGGTCTGGTATTCCCATCTCTTGAAGAATTTTCCCGAGTTTGTTGTGATCCACAGAGTCAACACTGTGGCTTTAGTGAAGCCAGTGAGTAGATTTGCTTAAGGTGAAGGATCAGAAGGAAATATTTAGAGTTATAACTGTCTCCTTACCACCATCTCCTTCTGACTCTATGGAATCAGAGAGGGCTTTGAGGAAAGATTGAAAAAGCTGCACAGAAATATGCTTGAAACAGAAAAATGACACCATTAGCTTTTTTACAAGATTGAAAATTACAAAAGGGAAATGGTACCTTGAAAGTGGAAAAATTTGGCAGATACTACTGTAGCCAGGTGATGAAAGTTAATATCACCAATAATAGGAAATAGACATTATTTACCTCTTGATGTGATACTCTGAGGACACATCATTTATGCAGTAATCCTTCCAAAAATGCACTATCTTATTCATTAGGAAACTGACAAAGTCAAACTAAGAAACATTCTATAATTCGATGAATCTGTGCTTGTCAAAAACGTCAGTGTCATGAAAGACAAAGGATCACAAGCTGTTCCAAATTAAGAGACTGAACTGGTATGATAGCCAAAAAAATACCAGGCATGATCCTGGAGCTGGAAGGGAAAAAAAGACAATACTGCAGCTTTGAATACAGACTGTATATTAAATATGTTAGCAATATTGAATTTCCTGATTTTGAAAAATAAACTGTGATTATATAAGAGTATGTTCTTTTTCTTGAGAAGAACACAGTATTATTGCTGAAGAGTCATGATGTTTGAAACTTACTCTCAAATGGTTCAGTAAAAACAAAAGAATAAGAATGTGTATGAAAGCATTTTATATATTCCATATATACAAGAGATTTTAAAAAAGCATATGGTTAAATGTTAACAAAGAGTAAATTTAAGTAAAAGACAAAGGATTTCATTGCATTACTTTTACAACTTTTCTTTATTTAAGATCAAATAATTCATTTTTATTATTTAATTTCATTTTTCTATAGCTTAGTTTTATTTTTGAAATTTTTATTTATTATAGTAATTTATTTTAATGTTTATAAACATATTTTAGTAGATGTTTTATAATATGTCTGTACATTTTTGTATTTGAAATGCTTTATAGTTCATCCCATGGCTTTTGAATGCTATGTTATGAATTGCTCTTAAAAAATGAAATACCATATAAATTTCAAAATACCAATATTATTATTTGGCTTATGTGGTTCAGTCACTAATGGAGTGAGAACCTTTTAACTCTTGAAATTGACAAGTTCTACCTCAGGGAGTTGCTAAAGGAGCTAAAATAAAAACAATGAGCCTGTGGTTGTCTGAAAGCTACACTTCTGTCTCAACCTCTTTGCTCCCTGCACCCCCTTTTCTGCCAGCTACCTCACAAATGTTTGAGTGACCAAAAGATTCAAGTGTTTGTGGTGGCTAAATAGGGTGGCTTTTGTTTTTGAGATTATAGACATGTGCAGAAACTGAGATCTCCTGTGGCAGGTGCAGTTTCTGCAGAAAGCCATTGCCCGAGCTGGTAGCGCCATAAAGGAGAGCTTTGACACTCCGTCTCTGGGTTTGCCTGTGTCGTGTATAGTGGCCAAAGGGCACCAGGGACCGTGTCTTTGATGCCTTTTGTGTATCTCAGTGTTAGCATCCGGCGTGCTGGCTGGTTGCCTTTCATAAAACCTTTTGGAATTCTAGGCTCACTGATGGTGTACCTGCTTTTAGAATAAATGAAGTGGCCTGCCAGTTTCCTCATACCTGTAATGAAAGAAATTCAATGATATAAAAACTGTGTCTTTTTGCACAGTTAGGTTGATGACTGGGTTTGTTGCATTAATGTCATCAACAAGCTAATCTTTTTCTTTTAAAAAAAATCTAGTGTTGTTAGCAGTGAGCTGGAGACTAAAAATTTTCCACTTCAGTTTGTTTATAATCAAAATTTTATAATCAAATTCTAAAACATATTGTTTATAGTCATGAAAAATTGAAAATAACTTTTATGCCCATGAATACAAAAATGGTTAAATCAGTAACTGTATCCATGCAGCTCTGAAGTGATTAAAGAGATTAAGCTAAGTCCATATTTTCCAAAATTGAAAGATTTCTAAGACATATTTTAAGTGAAAACAACTTGCTGAAAAATACTTAACTCATTTATTTCTGAAAACAACTGTATTTGTATTGTGTACATAAATGTAAATACTTCTAGATACCCTATTAAGGAAAAGCCAAATTGTTGAATAATGTAGAGATTTGTGGAAGGGAAGAATGCAAAAAGGAATGAACTTATGTCTATACCTATCTTCTGCTTTTCTATGTGTAGCATTCTTAAGTACCAAAAATTTATTAATGTATTACTGTGTACTTATACAAATAAATGTAGATGACAATTCATGTTAAAATTACAAAGGAGTGGATATAATCTAATCTGTGCAAATGATATAATTTCTTTCAATAGCTGATATGCATTCAAGATGGTTACCTTTCCCTGCTAACAGAAACTGGTGAAGTTCGTGAGGATCTTAAGCTGCCAGAGGGTGAACTAGGCAAAGAAATAGAAGGAAAATATAATGCAGGTGAAGATGTACAGGTAAAGACTTATGGGGAGATTGTTTTATTAAGCCATTTTATAAAAGCTTTGACCTAAAGTAATTAGCATAAAATACTATAAGAAATATGGCTGTTAAATACTGCTGAAATGTTGAAAAGGAACTCTAGAACTAGGCAGTTTTCCCAGGATACCTTTTACCATGCCCATTTCCAAAGAAAGTATCAAGGTTAATTTTTCACTACAGAGACACTGTCAACCCCAAATTTATTTTGAAGCTAAGCCTGAGCTATTCTGAAGGATGAGAAAGAATGTTATGGGGATTCTAAAGAGTTAAGGTGATTTATTTTATCTTTGTTATAACTTTGAGAAGTATAACATCTAAGTATTGCAGCATTTATAGTTCTTATTCTCCTGTTCCCTGGAAATTGTTTTAAAAACCACAGTTTAAGAAATTCTTCTCTAGAAAACTGTAGAGAAAGATGATTTGATCTTGGAATGCCTCTTTCCAAAATAAATATGCATAAAACATCCACAAATACTCATCTCATTCTCTCCTTCCCTCATTGTGTCCCCAAGTCTGTTCTCTATGTTTGGAAACATATACATTACCACATGTAAAATAGATAACCAGTGGGAATTTGCTGTATGATGCTGGAAGCTCAAACCCAGTGCTCTGTGACAACCTAGAGGGGTGGGAGGGAGGTTCAATAGGGAGAGGACAGAGGTATACATATGGCTGATTCCTGTTGATGTATAGCAGGAACCAACACAATATTGTAAAGCAATTATTCTCCAATTAAAAATAAATAAATTTTTTAAAGTTAAATAAGCAGGGTGAAAAATAGATCCACAGTTATCCAGTATATGATGAGTTAAATATATCTTATATAGATATTGCCTTTTGAATAACTTTCTAGCTGCTTTTTTTTCCTTCTAGGTGTCTGTCATGTGTGCGATGAGTGAAGAATATGCTGTAGCCATAAAGCCCTGCAAATAAATGGGAGCATCAGGCATGAGCAAACTGTATAGGTCTGGATCAGCTGCAGATCTAAAGTTTGGTTCTAAGTTGTCACCAAAGCTATGGCCTTCATAAGCAACCTCATTTCTTTTTCAGTTGTTTTGAAATTGTGCTGAGTTAGTTTTGCAGGCAATTAGTAATTTTAAAAAATAATCAAGATATATAACTTTTTTTTAAATTTTGTAGGTGTCTTTCCTATAACATTCCTGTGGTTTTCAGTATGTGAGTCCAAGAAATAGATGAGATAGCTTCAGCAGATGTGATTTGTCTGAGCAAATCATTCCTGAATTTTAGTTAAATGATAAATAAACCAGGGTTTTAAACAATGTAGCATCCAGTGGTATTGATGTACCACATTTAAGTTGAATTGCTCTGCATTAATTTCAAACTTAATATCATAGAATAAGTAGATTATGGATTGGAATTGTCAGAATTTCAGCCTGGGTGTGGCAAGTACAGGTCCTTAAACAAAAATTACGTTATCAACAAGTGCCAGTTATCTTAGTAACTGTGTGCAGCCCACCTGTGTTACCTCAGTCATTCTGTTCTTTGCCAAATTTCTGGCAGACTTAATATAATCTGTATTATGATCATTTTAGTACTTTGTTGTGCTTAACAGAGGCAGTAAACTGTTGTGTGACTGTTACCAAGTCATATTGTAAAGAAGGCCCAAAGGACAATGGCAGAGGGTGTTGGTAAAAGCTATAGGTTTTTATTTGAGGCCTTTGTAATCAGCATAAAAATAGGAAGTTTCTGTTTGCATTTTTAACTTTTGTTTTCTCTATTTAAAGGAGTGATGTGCTTTACAGGATACTATGCAGTACTTATTGATTATGTTGAATAGTTGATATTTGTAGTAATCACTCCTTTCCAGACATTTTTAAGTAGACTTTTTTTGACATCAAAATATTTGTTAAACAAAAACTGGAAATTCTTAAATTATTTGGAATGCTTGTTAAATTTGTGTATGTTTTTTCTAACATGAAAGTGAATCATAGAAGAAAAGTTACTTTATATGATTATTATTTAACTTAAGTATATGTATTTATCTGATTGTTATGTGATTTAATTCACTTTCTGGAATGAAATATAGCTAGGAAAGATTTCTATAAACTAAATTACTTTTAAAAGTATTTTAGGTGATTCTGCTACATTTCTATTCAGTCTTTTGGATCATATATCTATTTCCAGAATTCTGGCATTATCACAGGGTTTGTGAGGACTTTTGACTCAATAACAGCCATTATATTGCAGTGAAACTTAGAGCAAAATCACCATTTCAGTAATACTTTCATTCTCTAAGATTGATTATAAGACCTCTCCCATCATACATTGACTTCTAAAAGGCCTTTGTACCCTAACCTAGAGGAAAATCTGCATGATGCTATAATCGGTCTATTCAGTGATTGGAAATAGCATTAGGAACAAAAGATCCCAGTTTTAGTTACTTAATTTGCCCACGCTTTTAAATCTTGTATTAGCCTCAGCAAAACCACTTGGAGAAGCAAGATGCTTTAAGGAAATTCAAGAGGAATTCTAAAGCACAAGACAAGAAATATTGATGTTGTAGTTAATCATGTTTTAGTATAACATTTTAGCTTTTGCCCATCTAAAGCACAATTAGTAATTAGGCTAAATTGTTTCATTTTGGGAATGCCATTTAGGTATCTACTAGATATTGCTCTAAGTTTTTTTAGTACTCTGTAGTATGTATCTTACTTGTGACTGGTTGGCATTGTTACCTGCAGGAATTCCAGAAAGTTACCAATCTGTACTTCTTGCTAGCCATTCATATGACCCAAGTTAACTACACTAGTATTCTAGTTTAGTATTAATTCTGGACTAGCATGCCCTTGTTCTTCCTAATTTATCAAACTTCACATAAATATATTTTCAATTGCAAGGTATATATAAATTATAATAATGCGCCTATACTTCATATATTGAATGGCAAAAGCTAGTTATGAATAAGTATTTTAAGTACTAAAATAAAGTGTAAATACTCTTCTGACATATAATAATAGGTATAGATTTTAAAGATATGGGACTGTTTATTTTCATGTAAGTCAATACTTGTTTCTCTTGAACAATATATTTCATTTAGAAAAGCTTTATAAATTGTATTAAAAGGAAGCAGGAAACATTTTTTAATAGAACAGAAATGACTTCATTCTTTTTTGACATCAGAAATGTTAAAAGTTGATTCCTAGTATTTGTTGTACTTTTTTGTAGTAAATGTTAAATGTCAGAGTTACCACGTGTAGAATGTAGACTGTCACGTTGATAGATTATACAGTGATACACCTTCTTGTCTGCAGGCATTTCAGCAATTTATATACAGTATTATACTAACAAGTGGAATATTTGTTTCTTTCTAGAACAACATTTTATTTCTACTGTGAAGACTTTGCTATATCTTATTTGCTGAAAGTTGTATACCCTCTGAAATAGATCAAATTATTGCTGCTTTGACTTAGCATTTGCATCATAAACATAATTACCATGTGTCTTTCATGCTCCCCTCCAAGGGCTGTCAAGTCACTTGAAATTGTTGCTAACCAAGCTCTTGAATCCATTTCCATTTATGGAACAAAATTCTGTATGGATGCTTTATAACTATTACCAAAACTCTCCTGCAGCCAGAGCATGAAATCTTTAATAGGAGATGCTGCAATAAAAAGTTTAGGCTATAAAATTGGGGGATACAATTTTTCATTATAGCACAACATGTGTGCATATGCACACATAGCTTTGTATGTTTGTTCTTTTTACAAAGTACTTCCAACTCTTAAAAGTACTGTAGTCTGGTAGTGCCTCAAATGTTGGTAACTTTTTTTTTTATTTACAACTTTTCCAGAATTTGTTTTTGTACTTTAAAGTTTCTCAATTAGATTATTTCTAGTTGTAATTCGAATGCATTGTTCTCAGGGCTGTTTGTGCTAAGAGCTGAAGTTTCCTTATTTTAAAGCTAACTGCCTGAAAGAATATTGCAAAATTTTCCCACATTGTAATACAATGATACATACAAATAAAAATCTGTAATATCAACACACTTAAACTATATGCTAAATATTCAAGGAAAAAAAATGGGAACATTGCTAACATCTATACTGGAATCTTGCCATATTTTTTTCATTTTAGAAAAGAATTTGGTGGTCTTATCTTAGAACCTTATCCTTAATGATACATATGAAAGCATTCCTTTGGCATGGACCCCCAAAGATAGCTTTAGAGCCAAACTTTGATGTGGTGATTCTCAAAACATGTCTAGGGACAACAGAATTAAAATTCATAATACTTTGGGGGGTACATTAAACTGTTTACAGATTAAATTCTGTATATGAGCTAGTAACAAATTTACTATAAGAAAATATGACTCTTAAGCAGTATATGTGCAAACTATAAGCATATTTCCATAAATAGCAAAATATTAATTGGTCAAGTTTTAAATTTTCTGATATCATCTAGGCATTATATTTCATAGTTGTCAAGCCTTTTTTCCTCCCAGGATTTGGACAAGTAATAGGAAAGAAAGGCTTAAGAAAAATTTATTGTGAAAAACCTTAAAATTGAGAAAATTCAATCCATTAACTTTATTAAATTTTCTTTCTCTGAATTGAGCATATGGTATTATTTGATTTTAGCAGGGGACATTTGGATTTAGCTTACAGAACACAGGTGTTCTATGGGAACATGACTTGAAGTTCTATGTAATTTAATATTTTTTCATTAAATGACCATCTGAGCATCAACGTAACTACCAAGTGAGGTCAAGTGCCTGAAAAGTGCTGTATATATCTATATTCGTTTTCCTTACATGAAAGATGCATCTTATAGCAATGCATATCAGGCTTTCACCTGCTAAAAAAACATTCTTGTTGCCAAACCTTACCATCTCCACCACTATTCCTGACTCCTTATTACTGGTTGAAACTATTTTACAATTAAAAGAGAGGTTCCTTTATTTATATAAAGTCCCTGAAACTATGTCTTGATATTGGTAGACTTAAGTTTATTATAGTTCAAGATTGCACTTTTTTAAAACTCTGGATATAAAATTTATTCACTGGTGACTATACAGCTTGTCATAAGTCATGGTTGTGATCTTTCTTGAGAGGAATCCTTTATGTGGTTAATATCTACTATAAATAAGCACTCTTGTGCTTGTTAAAAATGCAGATTCCTAGCTCTCTATTGTTTCTGTCCTTCTCTTCAAAAAGGAAATAGTTGAAATGGCATTGTCTAATCCAGTGGCACTTTATTAGTAATACATTTTATTTGTCATAGGTATAAGAGAACTCATGCTCTTACCTGCAGAGACTCATGTTTTAGCTAAAACTTTAAAATTGTAAGATATGTAGTATGGGTATTATTATAATTGTGTATTTTACATTTCAAAAATGGGCAAAATTCATATATTAAGCCTTTGACTATGTTAAAATAATTGTGAAATCCTTTAAAATGTAGATAGTAAACTTATCAATTATAACTTTTTGTTACATTACAACATATTTGTCTGTTAACTTGATCAGTTATATTAAATAAAGTTAATTTAACAGCTTATACTATTCTTGCATATGTACATTCCTAGAGACATTTTCATACTAGAAAATAACTAATGTTAAAAGAAAATCTAATTTGTATTTTGTTTTCCTATATTTTAGGTTCTTATTGTATAGTACCCTAGCTTTACATCTGGGAATGTTAATGTCTAAATTTTAGTTCCAGATTTAGATATACTTTAAAAAAAAATCTTTAAGTTTTTAATAGTTTTTAGAATATATAAAATACATGGTTCAAAATTCTGTAGATACAAGAATAAATATCTCTCTTCCTCCTCTTCCTGTGCATTCTTCCACGGATACATAATGCAAGAGAGTTTAGTGGTCCCAACCCCTGACCAGGGTCTGAGGTGTTCCTTCCCTACCAGACTTGCTGTTCACTTTCTATACCGATGTGAATGGTGTGATGAATCCCAG